CCAGAAGCCTCGGTGACTCCTCATCCTCCAGTCTGGTCAGGCAGTAGTCTGATTTCTTGCTTGTTCTAATTGCAAAGTTATCAATTCCTCAGCCTTTTGTCGTGGTTCAACCAAGGTTTGGTCTCAGGCTGGTCATACCTATTATAAATGGCTAAACTCAAATGTCGGGTCCATCAGTAAACAGACTGGGATTAGAAGACAGAATTTAGTCATCGGTCATGAGGTTTGAGATCTTATGTGTTTTATTTTCAGAAACCGCCAAATGGCCGAAAGATTACCTCAGCGGACAATAAAGTTGTATTCTATTCTATGATGAAGCTGCAAACTTGTGTCCAGGAAATATGCGTTTGCCGTTGTTAATATGCACATGAATGCTGAACAACTTTATCAATCGAGCGACACAGAAAGTTCCAAACAATCTGATGACTAGAGCCCGATCAATACTGGATTTACTGATCAATACTGGATTTACTGATCAATACTGGATTTACTGATCAATACTGGATTTACTGGAGGCTGACACCAACATCAATATTTGAGTTTAAAAAAAAATCCAATAACAATATATGAACCAATATACTGTAGTGAAATTGTTATTTATTGGCTTACATAAACCACAATATTGATATCTGCAGAAAGCTAATATCAGTCGGCACAAACAGTTTTCTGTGTAAACCCACACACTAGCGCTGGCGAGGAGTAAGTCGTGTCTGTTTAATGTCTGCTGAACACTGCGATCCTCTCCTATCAGGTGATAGCACGTCTCCTTCTGTGGCCAAGTATCTGTCACAACGGGTGAAACTATGACTCATTCCTGGATAACGTAACATAATGCATCACCTGGCGACCTAGAGCTCAATACATTGTTGACCTGATTCCAGTACTCTGAATCACTGCACATACGTATCTCCTGCTCTGCGTGTCAAATAGGCCCGGTGTTATGCGTGTTGATGGCTGTTAGTTCCCACCTGTTAGAGAGACAATCAAACAATCAGAGGATAATAAAGTCACATGAATAGTAGATTGCTTCTTCAGGTGACAAATCAAATAAAAACAAGACATGAAAAAAATAATTCTAATTCACTTCATATGGTACAGTGCACAATATGGTGTATGTTTGGCAAACACAACACTATCATGTACTGAATGCCCACAGAACCTGCTAGTGTCTTTGCTTCATGTTTTCAAGCCAGCTGCATGCATGTTGTGTAGGTGGAGTGATGACTCACGATACTAAACACTGTGTGCTATGAACCATAAATAAAACCAACTACACACGTGTGTGTGGGAAGACTCACATGGCACTCAAAGAATGTACTGAAAGGACCCCACCACTCCCTATTAGGTATTGCATCCCATTCTGACACTGAGAGTCGGCATACTCGCAGGTAAATGCAGGGTGGAGACGAAGACGGCGGGGAAACAAATAGAAACGGTTAGTTATGACATGACAGGAAACCCGCCGACGAGACAACAAGCAGAAGCGAGAAACGGACAGCAGACGGGTGCTTATTTTGCTGCGTATAAAACGACATTACTGTATAGCTTTGGAATGCTCTAACCATATAAAATGTAAACTCAAAGTAAAAATTGCAAAGCCACATTTATTTTCCTGTCAATTTAAAGCTAAAAATGGTGCCCATCATCACGCGAGTGTAAGGCTCAAATTCACTGAATTTTGAATCTGGATGTCAGTTGCTCTGAAATGAGTCGAGAAAACACGGACGAGTTCAGAAGAGTTTCCAGCCAACCAGTAACCTCAGTGACCTCACATGGACTGGTGTGACTGCAGCCAGACCAGACATGTTGTGAACGGCTATTGAAGTGCGGGTTTGGTATTTGTAGTTGTGGTGAGCCTGCTCTTCCAGTCATAAAGCATGTTTGAGAATTTCGGAGTCTGCAGTCAACCCTGAGCTTTTGCAATGTCTGTTTGGAAGAGCACAGTGGATTGTTTTGTTTCCATTTCTTTTCTCCTTTCTAAAATGTCTCTTCATGAACGAGTGCTTGAAGATACAGAGTAAACAGAAAGGACTTTGGGTTTGTTTGAGGTTATTTTGTATATATGAGAGCAAAATGAAAGGGCCACATTGGTAGACCTAAAGTACCTGATGCATGTCCTGGGTTTGGCAACAATGACAAACAATGTGGTTATGAATGTAACATACTGTATATGACGACACAGCTTGGGTTCCACAAATCACTCAGGCTAGTTTTTACTCTGACAAAGTGAAGACAATAGACTGTTTCAACAGAATTGAAGTGCTAGGCGACAGCTTGCCTCCATGTTTACTTCCTGTCAGCTGATGTAATTCACATGCACTGCCACAAGGAATATATAACAGAAGGCAGGGTCATTACGTCATTCCAATTTTGGTGCTAAAAATAAAAAAAGATATAGTTACTTTAAATGCTGCAGCCTGAACATTCCTTAAAATAATGAGTCTCCTGTCAACTAACCCGTAAGTTACTCTCATCCACACACTGAAACGCACATTGTTCACACTCGCTTAAATCTACTAGATAACCTGGAGTGATCTCTTTATGATAACAGGCCTGACCTCTGGCAGAAGGGAAAGTGGTCTATTGGCTGTTCTCAACAGGCGGGAGGGCCAGACGGGGGAGTAAGAAGAGCGGCCTGGCCCGGGTCTGAGTTAATATTTCAGACATGCAAGTGACCCCCATCTCTGACTGTTCCCCCTTTTCTCTTTTATGTTTCGCAACAACCGAGGAAAAGCACCCCGCCTGGTGTCAGGTATCAGAGGGTTGCTGTACGTCTGCTCTGGTTTAGTGCTGCCTTACACATAAAAAAAAACATTGTGCAAGAGGACTTCCAGGAACTTGTGAGGAACACAGAGTTGTTTTGCTGTTTAGATCCCTCCAGACTGACATGAGAAAAAGATTTATCTCCTGGAGGGAGGGCGAGGTTAAATTTGCTCATGCACAAGTGCTCAGACACACACTGTTCTGGAAAACATTAGGGCAGCATAACTGGTGAATTAACATCATATGTAAGGCAGGCGTTAGCTGTAACGTTTTCTTTACTGGGCTCTCGTGGCTCTACGAGCAGCTTCCACAGCAGCACTCGTGACGTTAATATAGCTCTTAATACTTTCATATTTTTACAGCACTAAAATCATTTCACAAGGACAAGGAAAGGGTGTGGAGCCTCACCAAGCTTTATTTACATGCGCACCATTTCTTATACAAACTAGATTACAATTCAAAATGGAATACACAGGAAAAATACCCACTAACATCAAGTCGAGAAGAAGCAAGATTAATAAAGGAAAAAGTTCAGAGGGCGTAAGGAGGGGAGCTGGCCTGGGCCACTAAACAATTATGAAAAAGGTCCAAGAGAAGATAATGAAAAGGAAACGTCGAAGGTGACTCAGGTATCTAGTGGTATGTTTCTTCTACTTTTTTTTTTGCTTTTCTTCGCTTTAAATTTGCACGTGATGTGCTGCAGGTGTGTGTGTGTGTGTGTGTTGGGCACAAGAGGAGATAATCTGTGCATCAATGAAGCAGTAGCACTGAGTGGTTGTGTGGAAGGCCTGCTCCACTATGACGAAGTGTAAACTATCTCCCCAAAGAGCCAGAACATTTTACACGGAATATACAAAATGTTTGGAACACCTTCCTGCAATTGAGATGTGCATTTTTATCAGGGATCAATGACCCCTGTTTAAATCGAATGGATTACAGGGTTCCCTGGATTTACCTTGTCAGACGTCTTCACAGGAGTAGTTAAGTGCTTCTAATATTTAGTACGGTGAGCGTAGATAAATCCAAATGCTTAGCAGTTCAGGTGATGGCGCAGGATTCCCCCTGCCAAGGCAATGTGATAAATGCTCTGGAAATTTTAGATGCGACAAGTGCGTAGGAAATTCCAGCTCGATGTCAGATGAGGCTTCTACCGCATCGAAATGATGACCACACACTCACTGAGAGCACCAGGACGTTAACCTGCTGTACTCCACGTGGAATAAAACAAGTGTGAAGCTGAGGAACGTCCGTTAAGGAGGCTTTCCCTGTGTCTGCCTCGATGTACACACACTACATCGTAATAATAAACCCATTAATGTGGGAGGACGCAGCTCTGTAAGCCCTGATTTTAAAAAATAGAAAGTGTGTGTGTGCTTAAGCGCCAAAGACACAGGGTTCCTCCGTGAATTACAATTTCTGTCGCAGGACGGCACCATTGGAAGGGTCAAGGGTTACAGCTAGGTCATGCACTAAACCTCAGATAGCACAGTAGATCATTCTAGTCAACCATGCACACACACTCCTCTGCCTTGGCCTCAAAGTGATATACACACACATCTGTACACTATTATACACAGCGGGGCATACACTTCATGTCGCTACCCCAGACAGAGAAGGGATACCAGGGTGTCCAGATGCTACAACAACGGTGCTTTCCACCATTTAAAAAATCTGGTTCAACAATTAAATCGCTGGTAACAGTGTTCCCTCCTACGGGGGGGGGGGGGGGGGGAACGTTGTTCATCGCTTCTTCAACTTTACCTTCAGAGGCATCATAAAATCCAAAGGGGTCAAGTACTACATGAGTATATAAGGACATACAGCGAGTATATATGCATTTCACACAATTCATAATGCATAAATACATGCATGCATACAGTCGGCTGTGCTGTATGCACCATGAGGGATAGTGAGGGATTACACATCCTCGTGAGATTAATTCAACAGAAATAAATTCCACAGATAAACACATACACTCAGGAGATACAGGAAATCACCTGCAGGAGCACCAGGCGTGTCCATGAGGGGGTGGGGGGGGGGGGGGGGTGGGGGGGGGGGTGTATGCGTGTCACAAGTCCGACAAGAGGAAAAAAATCTAAAGCCATACCAGCAAAACCAAAAATAACGGACCGCGTGAAGTCTTAATCCTGACGTTTATCTTCCTTCTTCATCTTGACGGCCAAAAGTTCACAGGTTACAAGTTCACAAACACAAAGCATTACTGTTTTTTTCTATCAAGAAATGTTAAAATACCATTAGAATGTGACTTGATGTTACTTAAAATGGGAAGCCTCCCTTTTCCCCCCCTGAGTGATTCTATATATGCATAAGAAGCCTCATGAGCTCATGACAAGAGAACAGCAGAGCTTAACACAGATCCCTGGTAGTATTTATTCTATGTGTGTGCAACAAATGTGTGTGCTTGCATGTGTGTGTGTTTGTGTGTGTCGTGATTTGGCTGCCAGCATGTCCTACTGTTTGTTTCAAGTAATTTTGGCAATATACATAGATAGCTTATTATTGTTTGACTCGAGAAACAAATGGCTTCTAGAGGAATGAGCCTAAAACCCTAACCCCCCCCCCCCCCCTCCCCCCCTCCCCTCCTCGCCGTGCTACAAATGGCTGCAGCTTTGGGCTTCTGCAGGTCGTGGGTAAAAACAGAAACAAAAGGAACAAAATGCACGGCTTGCTCTCAGGGCAGGGTTCAACACTGTTTACATAGCACCTGTAACGGTGTGGAAATGTTCACAACCCTAGGACACAGGTATTCATTTTGGCTACATCATATGCAGTGATAAACGACCCCAACAGAATTCACCAGAAGTTAAGAAATCTGACAAAAGAGACAAAATCTTTCCCTGTCCTTCTTGAACAAATATCCATGTCAGAGATTTTCTTCCTCTAGTCGTTTTTCATATTTTTTTACAGTTAGATTACAGATTTACAGATTTCTTTTTACAAATGATAGCAAATATTTTTGTAATATTCAGCTAATGGTAATATAACTCTCAGTATGCAACATTTCATTTAATTGAAGCAACAGAATTGGAAGTGCATGGCATTGAGTTGAGCAGTTTTGACTTGAAAAGGTGCAAACTGGGTCAAAGAGTAGGTTGGTCTGTTGGTGTGTTTGCATGTACTGTATGCGTGGCCACTCAGCGAGTAAAGATACTCCATGTTCATCTTTCCATTTCATCAATACACCAATTATTTCTGTAAAGACATGTATGATGCAGAAACAATGAGGATAAGACAGAAAATCTAGAAAACAAACACTGAACATTAAAAAATCACCGAGAGAGAACAGAGGGATATTCTTTTCTCAACATAACACATCCCAGGAAACCACTGGATCAGATTTACACCACATCACTGCTTGATTGTTTCACTTTACACTTTCTTTTTTTTGTGTGTTTTCAACGGAAACAACTGCTTCAGTCTTGGCTTGATATAAAGTCCTTGTACATCACCTGAAACCCCTTCTGATGAAGCAGTGTCTCTGATGTCAACAGACTGGGTGTCAAAGGAAAATTGCATAATTTGTGAGTTTGACATAGCTTCATTTGTGTTGTTTCTTCACAGGAGGCTTCGAGGGATGATGTGCAGTATCTCTGGAGTCTGTCGGATTGTTCATGGTTCACCAGTGTGGGAGCGAAGGTAAAGCTCTCGAGAGGAAGTCTTCTTCTGTAAACACAGGGTTCGTATTTTACGTTGTGCTGATGGCAGGTTTGGCAAAAAGGATGTCGTGTGTCTGATCTTCTCTTGCACTACATAGTTCAGACCTGGTGACATAAAGAACAAGATGATTATGACTGAGTATTCATAATGTACTAACTAAAAGCAAGAAAATAGTCTTTCTGTTGCAAAGTCATGTTTATTAACTAAATGTCACCAATCCAGCTTTTTTTGTTCCACTCTGCTCATTTGCAGCAGTAATTGAATGTGCTTAAAGCTACCACTGGTACTTCCTGCATGTGGCTCACAATAAATGCATTTTGTGAAGGCAGAGGTAGACCTTTACCGTGAAACCAGAAGTGTTGACATTAACTTTTGCAGTTTCCATAAATAGTAGATACAGACTTTTTTTTTGTCGTTTTGAAAATTTGCATGGATGTAATACATTCTATTTCACACTTTGCGGGCGCATTGCTGGGGACCCAATCAGCGGGGTCGGTAAAAACATAAACTGGTGGAGAAGCTTTGTTCTTTAGCAGGTCAGTTTTGGTTTGAGGAAAACAGCTGAAGTGGTTTAGTGAAGAGATGCAGAGTCGTGTAATTACGTTGAGAGAACCTTTTCCATGTGGATTTACAAGACAATGAGTGCAGCATGGACTCTGATTAGGGCTTGTGACAGCTGTTCAGAGCTTTTTCTTCAGGTCTGTATCTGTTTGCAACACCAGTAATTGTACAGCACGAAAATGAAAACAATGTAGATACACTTTTCACAAGTCTAGAAAGCATGTTGGTGTATGAATATTTTCACTTATAGCACACTATCATGTAAGTTTACACATATCTTAATCAGTTCTGCACAGAGACTTCTACAGATTTTACATTTTGTAAAAAAGAACACTAGTATCGTATCTGTACTCGGCATTAGATTAAATGTTGGAACCGAGTGAGGAAAGGTTAGATCAGTGCATCCCTAATTCAAGGCCACATGGTTTACGCCCATGCACACAACACCCAAACATACACACCTGCTCTGCTCCTCCCCGGCCTGACCCTCTCAGCCGGGTACCCGGCTCTGAGAAGTCTGCTTGGTGTTTGCGAAGTTGCCGACTCCGTTCATGTTGGCCAGAGAGTCAAAGTTAAAGTCCAGGCCATCTGCGTCCATCAGCTCGTTCCTAATGATGGAGTCCATATCACACTCCAGGCTGCTGTTGAACATGTCCAGGTCCAGATCTGTGGGGAAACGGTCCTGACAGATCCCTCCACTGCTGCCAATTGTCCCGTTTAGGAAGATCGAGGTGTCGATCTGCATGGAAGAGGAACCATTTCCTCCCAAAGGTGACAGCAGGAGCTGCTGCTTGGCATTCGCCAGAGCGTTAGCCTCGTTGGCTAGGTTCAGGCCTCCGTTTAAAGACCTCGGGGAGCTCTGGTTGTGGTTGTTACTTTGAAGTATCTCCACTTGGCTGCGCTGAAGTCCTCCAGTGGTGCCAAAGGTCATTACGGGATCATTACGGAGCATGAGGCCACGACGGGAGTTCTGGGAAACGATGGCAGCAGCGCTGGCCTGTGACATCAGCGGGTCAGACTGGGTCATCATGACGTCGCTGTGGCTGTGACTGTCAGAGTTAAGCAGGTCTTGTAGTGTCTGACTGCCAAAGCGAGAGAGGCTGATGCTGGAGAAGGAGGTCTGCTTGTTCTCCTGGATGGTCTGCATGGGGGCCGGACGCAGCGACGAGCCTGCCGTGTGGGGGCCAAAGATGGAGTTACTGTAACCATTAACTCCACCGTTAGTAGAAGTGTTGGTGGAGGGAGAGGAGGTGGTGGAAGGTGAGCCTAGCCCGTTGGATTTGGACACAAAGTTGAACCCCGAGGAACCATTTGGAGCTGTCGGCCCCGTCACGGGTGGCACCAGGTCGATGTTATCCAGCAACTCATCCATCAGGTCATCTGTGAGTCCGTCATTCAGGTTCATTGTACCTGCCAGGTCCGCAAGGCGGGGCAGCTCAGCCGGCGCAGAGCTGGTTGTGGCGATGCCAGGAGACAGTGCTCTGCCAGGGCTGGAGTATAGCATAGGCGAGAGAGGAGGCTCGTCATCGGGCACCTCGTCTAGCTCAGGGTTGGCCAGAATGGGTGAGAGGCGACCGCTGAGTGTGCTGGCGTTGGAATTAGTGCGGGAGCGGAAGTCCGTCCAGGCGTCCAGATCCTCGCTGCTGCGTGACGTTGGGCTTCCAGGCCACTTGGAGAGACCTGAAGGACTGTCTCCGCCGCCTTCACCAGCTGCAGCGGCTGCGGCCTGCAGAGCTGCCTTCTTCTTGGCAGCACGGCCGCGGGCCGACTTGGTGTACTTGTTGCTGTTGTCCATTGACACAGCACGGCGGCGAGGAGCCTTGCCACCCTTCCCTCCCTCTGGGTTGATCATCCACCAGGAACTCTTCCCCGTCCCCTCGTTCTGTACGCGGATGAAGCGGCTGTGAAGGGAAAGATTGTGCCGGATGGAGTTCTGTAACACAAAGCAGAGAAAGAGAAGAGACTGTGTTAAGTGACGTGTGTAAAATCCTCTTGAATCAATCGCTCAAACAATGACATGAATATTGATTTGTTGTGTTTTTTCTCTCCTTTTACCAATACAACGTTCAATGAATACCTCTCATTAAGTCCAACGAAACCGATCCATAAACAACCCACTACTACGGGTTCTGCAGCAATGTAAACAGTTGCTCCGGTGATTAGACACACAAACAATGAAAAAATCCAATTGTTTCAATTGTTCAACCCCCAAATAGACAGGAACACATTAACGTGTTGCAGCACTTAGCGCTGATGTCTGCATTGTTCCCCTGTAGCTTTTGTGTAGTGGTTATAAAGGAGACAGTGGTCTATAATCAAGCGTCTCCTCGATTATGAATGACACATACAAAGAGCCCCTGTGTTGCTTGAGCAGCTCGTTCTGTGTCGGATCACGTGTGTTTGCGTGCGAGTCTTGTCTGGTGTTTATTGATCAGCTCTGAGCTCCTTCCTTGTGTGAGCCCTAGAGGCTCATTGTGGGGGAACTGGTGCACATGATCAAGAGTTTTACTCACTACACAGAGATGTATGTACACATTGAACTGCCATACAACATCCCTGTTGTATCACTGACTCTCTTTCTTATTTCACACTTTGCTAGAGGGCACTATTTAAACAGGAGTAGTTCTTGTAAGTTTTATTGTTGCGCGCCATTATGGGTTCCCATTTGCACGATATAAAGCATTCACAAAACATGTTTACACTGAAGAGAAGTCATTCCAACTCCGTCACTACTCATCTTCACTAATCGATTAGTGTGGAGTCAATGGCGGATTGTATGATGTAAGCTCTGGCTTTGCAGTTATTCAAGACTCAAAACTCCCAACTACACTTGATCTGTAAATTAGACCCATGCACATGAGCATCTAGACAACCCTCTGTGAACACCAACGCCTGCATTTGAAGGTCAATTGATGTATATGGTTATGACCTCGTTGGTTTAACTTCTGTCTCAAGCATTTCCGAAATTTCTTCTTCTCTTTTTTCCTCTTTTTGTGCCCAACAACCTACTGAAGGCCTCCTCTCCATACCCCCTTCCTCTTCCGCAGTTTCTGTTATCTCACAAACACATAGCTCTTATGAGCCCTGAGGGGACTCTGGGGCTATGCTATATCCTCCCATATAAACAACCCAACCGTCATCCACAACATGCAGGCATTTTTCCCTCTGTTTTCCTCCCTTGTATATTTTTACTCCCTTACACGGAAGAGATTTCTGGGTTCCAAATAGCGAAGGCCAAAATCCTCGAGTTTTTGTGGGAATCACAATATTGTTTTCCATGAAGCAGTCCCGTCTTTCCTGAGCAACAGTCTACAGACAATTTAGTCTGGATTGTTTTTCTGGTCTGAGGCAGTTCAATCAGAGAGGAGAAAGAGAAGCTTAAGTTACTGTTCTGAATGCTGCGTTAGCAGGATAAGAAAGTTGGATCTCTGGGGCCCAACTGAACCTATGACCCTGTGTGAGTGTTTGTTTTTGAGCATTCATCTGTGTTTGATAGTTATATGGAAATGCCCAGGTTTTCCATTTGCAAAATGCGTGTTTGAGTGTTTTGCCATTGCAAATGCAAAAGCTGTTTTTGCAGGACGTTTTTACAAAAAACACTTAATAATGAATGGTGTGTGTATGTGAATGAGCATTTCCCAAGTGTGTGTGTGTGTGTGTGTGTGTTTGTGTGTATTCTGTGCAATGAGGTAAGATGAGAAGCGATACCAGGGAGACCAGTGTTTATCCTCTGCCAGCGTCTCTCGAGGCATGACCTAATGCTGCTTTATTACAGGACATTTTACACACACGCAGCATATATACTGGCTAAAAGTTTACTGCTGCCAAAGAGATGTAAATACAGGCAGGAGATAGACTTTGTAAAGGAAAAAGAGAACTTTTGGAAGGATGAATGAGAGCAGAATGAATGGAATGTGAGTTTCCTTCTCCCGCTGCTGTAAACATTTACCTGCCAGCTCCTGACACTTCATCAATCCTTCTCCCTCGCTTCATCCCACACCACCTTTATCCCTGCACCGCCCCACTCCCTCCACCCAGCAAAGCCACTTGTTTAATGTTTCTCTTTACCGTGCCACTGCTCGTATCTTTCAAATGTCAGGTGAGATATTTCTAACTGGATGGAGCAGCACAAAAAAAGGAAACGGGACATCTGCAAGCGACGCATGGACAGTGATAAATAGAGGACAAAATTGGGTGCCAAGTGAAAATGTGTGAGTGATGGTGAGAAAGAGGGTGAGAGGAGGATGATTGCACGATGAAAGAAAGAAAACTGTGCCTGGTATGCATCAGTATTACATGTGGTGTATGTGTGTAGTACATGGTAGTAGTAGATCCTCTCACATAGGCTACACTTCCTCACAAACCATGTAATGATTATTCTTGTTATTCTGGATCATGTCCTTGATATATGTTCTGCAAAAACCACATTTTTTAAAATGTAATTTTTCAAAAGCTTCAAGCACCACAAACAAAATTGTATTCACCTTAATGGTATTGGAAAGAAACATGTTCTGAAAGTGGAAAATATGTTTTATTATTTTAGTGGACTGAGCTGTTAACCAGCTCAGTCCACTGTTTTGACATTTCCTTTGCTTCACGTTTCATGTAGACATTCAGTCTCTCCTGCAGACCACACGGTCTATTTTCTGGCTGCCATGATTCTGACTGTATCTAATGACAAATTCAATCATATTGTTTATGTTATTTTATGTTTTGTTATTTGCAGAATGTATGCACTCTATGTGTATGTGTGTGTACATGCTATTGGGATGCTGTATGCTTACTATTGTAGCTCCTCTGGGATATTCCCAAAGCCCACTGGGACAGTAGCTCTGATTCATAACTCCTACTATGCTGCAACAGCAGATAAATAACACACACATACACTAACACAGCTTGTGTTTTTTCTTTCTCGACCTAATTTGTCCCTCCTTTTTTCTGTTTTGTACCCTCTACCTCATTCTCTCTCATTTGAGATCTAGATAACACATCTGGGCCCTCACAAGTAGGTTAGTGAACTAACTTTGGATTCAACGTTTGTCTAACAAATGTCTTTACTTTGAATATTAATACCTGCCTGGCAACCTCACAGTAGCAACAAGACTCCAGGAAGTCACTGAGCCCGGCCAACAAATATTTAGAAAATAAAATATTCATGAAATGTGTTAATTAGAGGTGCTGGTAGGTGGATTCTGTTATGTTCAGACAGAGCCGGAGTATTGGTTTCCCCATCTTTCCGGATGTTATGCTAAGCTAACTCGCTGCTAGCTGTAGCTTCATATTGAGTGTACAGACATGAAAGCGATCTTTTCATCGAGTTTTCGGCAAGGAAGCAAGCGCATGTATTTCCAAAAATTGCCAAACTATTTCTTCAATCGATCGGGAAACCTGGTCCAAAGAGTCAACCGTTCATGAGACCGGTTATCCAGGTTCACCAGTGCAATGTTTTTGAAGCAAACAGATTCAAAAAAAGCCAGACGAAGCTGAACTCACTTCGTGAGACAGGCCCCAGCTGTGTGTGTGTGTTTTAGTGGTGTGTGTGTGTGAGCGCGCGCACCAGCTGCAGCCAAAGCTCAGGAACACAGAGGCCTTTTTGTCCGTCAGCAACATGTGGGAACAATTAATCACTGTCAGCAACCACGCTAGGAATCTCTCTCTCCTTTCTCTCATTATTCTGATTTTTGTAGGCGCGTAGGTGGGAACCCCTATATTTGCATTTATGTCAATCTAAATGTAGAAATTGCGTGTACATTGATTTTTTCTTTTAAGGGGGAATTTTAAGAAGATTTTAAACTGATGTGAGGGGATGATATCAATTTAATACCCCATATGCACGTTGTAAATGTATAGAAATGAATACCTCAGACCACTGAGGTTACTCAAAGCAGGTTCCTCTGATTGGTGCAGATGATTCTGAGAGTGCTTTCCAATAGGTTGTAGCTGTCCTCGCTCCATCAGTGGTGATTGGTGGAGTGAAATGGGTTTGCGTAGCCAGGCAGTACAGAAAAGGGAGGGTCTGCATGGTGTTGCAAGTGTATTTCATCACCCAGCTACAGCACATATCTGAACTCAAATGTATGAACTGGGTCAGTTTCACTTTGCCAGGTTCCTGTACTCTGTTTGTGCCTGAGAGAATCATTTTACTGGTCAGCCCAACCCAGGTACAACCTTCCCCGCCTTTAGCTGTAAGGAAATGCAGAGGAAACATACAACAAAACCCCTCAACACACACACACACACACACACACACACACACACACACACACACACACACACACACACACACACACCTCTTCATGGGTTGTGCTACAGGAAAGCGTTGGGTCAGAGGGTACAGTTTCACAGAGCCAGGAGACAGCAATGGGTCAAAGGTGAAAGTGCTTTGAGGTTGCAGCTCTCGCCTGAAACATGTTAACCCCGCCCCCTTGACCCTGCTGCCACTGCTGTGATTGGACCAACTATGTGACCTGAACCTCACACCTCTGGTGTAACTAACCAGACACAGTGTGTGTGTGTGTGTGTGTGTGTGTGTGTGCGTGTGAGTCCTGGCCAAACATAACCACACTTTCTGCCATTATGTAAACCAGCTCTAATCTGAGTCTAATGTCAACAGTGACTGCTGCTGGGTCAAGCAGACAGCTTGTGCAACATTAGTTACCATTTACCAAAATAATGCTTGTTTTGCCCTGAAGTGTTCTTTCTTTAAAGAATGGAAACAAGATTAACTTTGTGCAAACAGGTGACGGGAAGCAAATGAACCAGATACATGATGACTTTTAAATGTTATAAAAGCAAACATAAGAGGTAGAGACAAAAGAGCTCATTCATTTTTAGAAAGAGAGGAAACAATTCTATTCTAATATTCCAATCAATCAATAAATCAACAAAGACACAAACAAGAGCCTTGGCCTAAGATTGTTTAGCCACAAATAC